GCCATTGGACCTGCATGAGGCCGCCCCAGCCGCCGAGCCGGTCGTATCCTCATTTCCAACGGACTCAACGTGTGCCCAATCGTCTAACTACGCGCCGTTGGAACCTCCCTACACCGCCCCTGCTGCCTGTTCGGTCATGTCCACTTTGCCAACGGAGGCACCAGCTGAAATGGCGTATGATCACACGCCATCAGAACCACCCCATGCCACTATTGAGCCAGTTGTACCAGAGTCTACAGTTGAAATGGCATGTGCCCACATGCCATCGGATGCGATTGACCCCACATTGCAGAGGAGAGTATTTCCGCCCTTCACGTTTCCTCGACCAAAACCCTCTCAACGACCATCGGGAGCACCATTCACTAATATTGTAGATGGTAAAATTGACTTGTACCATTTTTTATGCTGACGCATTTCATTTCAAAGTCACGGCGAAGGTACTGTATCGTTTTTGATCTGAACGGTGTCCTTTTCTCCCATGAGCGTGGCTCGTCCTCGAATGTCACTACACCCTCCAAAGCCTGCAGTCGCAAGTTGGTCAAAAGAGACAGATTCACATTAATCACACGGGAGAAACTGCGGGATCTAATAATGACCATGCGACACTTAAAACAGAGGGCCGGGTTCAATTTGCAATTGGGAGTTTGGACATCCATGATGCGCCACAATGCATTAACGTTGCTACAGATGATGCACGATCAGACGCGAGTAATATTACCATTTGACTTTCTCCTAACGCAGGAGGATTGCTTGACTATGGTCCATGTGAGGGGTAGCAAGCCCATCTTCGTCAAGCCAGAGGCTGTAGTGATGAACCGGACTGCTAGGTCAAGTGAAATCCTCATCATCGATGACTCGCCGATTAAAACTGCAGCAAACACGCACACATATGTAGTGCACCCCATCTCTTGCAGTATGGAAACTAGGGAGAAGAAACCGTATGTTCTGGGGGACCTTGCAAAACGGCTTGGAGCGATGGTAATAGAGAACCGGCCAGTCCAAGAGGTGGCTGCAGAAATTAACCAAATGGCAGATGGAACGGTATATCAGAAGCCATTTGATCGGACAGACACCAGTCATCATTTATGGCATTTATATTGTCTAGCCAAGCACTATCCGCATCTCCATAATCTGCTCAACCGAATGGGTTCTTCGACCACTGAACATGAGCGTGGACGTATTAGAGAAGAGATGGCATTACTATTGGGTTTAAATCCTGATAGTGTGAAGAGTGATGAAATTCCAAGATTATTGTATAGGCGTTGGAGGCAAAAAATAACAGTCTGAGATGGCATGTATTTATTTAAAAATGTAACTTATTATGGCATGGGGTTCCATGCCATTGTATTAATATTAAAAGACAATTCTTTGAGAGGATTTGCATTATACTAGAAGTGTTACAGCATGTTATTGGAAGTCTACGAAGTTGTTTTATTAATAAGGGGAAAGTAAAGATTGAATGAGGACTTGGGCTCCACCTAGACTCGGAGCAACTGAGCCAATATTAAAAGGATGGAAAGAAATTGGACAACGATGACAAGGAGAAGAGAGAGGTGAAGCAGTGGCAGGGGGAGGAGAAGTGATTGAGTAGACATTTCCTTGTTTAAAATAAAATGGCATGTGCCTCAATGCAGTTGAATTTTGTTATATTTATATACTATATAAAGGTTTGGAAACCTTATTTTACAAGTGGGATAATGACAATTCCCACTTTAACAAAATAGAGCTTAAGTAACAATTGCTTCCATCTTTACTATTATCTCTTATAAGAATGTGAACCCAAAGGATTTCTTGATCCACAAGAGTGGAGAACCAAATATTGGTAAGAAAACCTTTGATATGGCTTGTGGATGCTGTAAAAATCCAATGTCCACCATGACAAGCCTAATATCAGAACAAGAAACAATCTGATCACTCTTAATTTGAACACAAGGAATATATTTATAACCTTATATTTGAGAATATTTTAGTCAAATAGTCAATAGTAAGTTTGTAAAAGGAGTAGTATAATAGAGAAAATGGTGTTTTAGGGATTGCTATGGGTACTAATTGTTTGGACAACATTTCGTTGAAATGGCAGAGATGTGGTATGGAAGAGCTTGATCAATCTATGCTTTCTCGAGTTCTAGAGTTAATAGATTTGCCAACTATACTACAGTGTTGAGGTGTATGTAAATTTTGGAAGTGGACGATTAGCCTTGCATTGATGTACTCAACCATCCTAGAGATGCAATGAATAAACTCATCACTTAAGCCATATGGCATAGAATATTTAATATGTTAACCTAGTAATGATTCCCTAATTTCTTGCTGACACAGTTTGGTCACTCTCTACTTGGTAGTGGCAACCTCACAATGTGAAACAAGTGCACACACATGACTTAGCCTCTCAATGCACTAGAAATGCCGATATAGAATTTCCAAACATACTCACTCTAAGGTACTTAAGACACTAATAAAAGCACACTTGCTGTTTAAACAAAAGCACACACATCCACATTTATAAAATGAATATGAACACACTTCAATCAAAGCCACATTTAATATACTATTAACCAACAAAACACTTTCTACTTTAAAGTACACTCCAAAAAATGTTAAATACAAAAATCCTTGAGGGGTGGGATGAGCTCTGGCATAACTCTAAGTTTTTATTGCTTTCCACTCTTATTCTCTAGCTCCAAAATTCTTAATATTTTGAAATCTTTTGCATGTGTTTTAGCCTATTATTGTACCATCTTTGTCCTTGACCAAAATGTATATTTAATTTGCATCCTTATATATTGGTGAATTCCCTTTTAGAATTTTCATAGACACACTTCTAATCTTGTCACTTGAAGTTTTAATAGGAGGATTCCCCTCTAGAATCCTAACTAGGGATGCAATTCTGAAGGAAAATCCTTCAAAGACGTTTTTTCTTATGAACCAATGTCAAGGGTTCATAAAGCTTAGATTAAAGCTACTTGGGAATTATCTTTTACTAAATTCTTTGTTGCTACATGTTTTATCTTTATACTTGTACTTTTAGCCCTCTGTGCTCTAGTCCTAGCCTTAATGAGGACCATTTAGAACCTATCTAAACTTTTTTCACTCAAAAATTCTTTGTTAGCATCTTTACCACCTAACCCTTCATTATTTGATGAAGTTTTGAGCTCTTTAGATTGTGCCACAATCTCATAAACAAATAAGATATGTGCATCCTTTTTTTGTGCCTTCTATAGCCTTCATCTCTAGAAGCCTCTCTTAGGCATCTTTATTGTTGATGGCAACACTTATTCTTAATTGTTTGGGAGCCCCTTTCCTTTTCTTGAGATGAGAATTTGCCTTCTCCTTGATCACTTGTTCGACTTGGATAAAAAAGAAATTTAGAGAAAGAGAATCAATAGAATGGATTTACACACCTCACTGAATTTAATGGGCAATCCACTGGCTAGTCAATGCGCTCATTCTTTGCCCATCTTTGCAGCCTCATCCATGATTTGGTCCATTGGGATTCTCTCACTGTTGTTGTTGCTGCTACCACTTTTGTTACTCCCACTTTTGTTGCTCCCACCCTTGCTTAACTTAGAATCTTTCCACAAGTGATATACCTCAATAGGCTTACTTATAATCTAACTAATAGCCTTGTAAAGATGATTCATCCTTCTTTTCTTGCAAACACAATTCCTCTTTTCTCTAGAAAACTTAGAAGAAAATGAGTGAGCAGGAATTTAAATGAAATGAGAATCTAGTGATGACAAACAATTCAAATTTGTTATGTATTTATAGGTAACAATCACTTGCATCTTTACTATTATCTCCCATAAGAATGTGAACTCAAGGGATTTCCTGATTCACAAGAATGGAGAATTTTGATTATTTACCAAAGATTGGCAAAAAAGATTTTGATATGGCTTGTAGATGCTATAAAATTCAATGTCCATGATGACAAGTCTAAAATCATAACACAATCTGATCGCTCTTAATTTGGCATTGAACACAAGGAATATGCTTATGACCTCATATTCAAGAATATTTTAATCAAATAGTCAATGATAAATTAGTAACAAGTAATAGAGAAAATGGTGTTTTAAGGATTGGTATTAATTGTTTGGACGATGTTTTGTCGAAACAACAATGATGCAATATGGAAAAGTTTGATCAACTTGTGCTTTCTTAAATTGTAGAATTAACAGATTTGCCAACTATATTACAATGCCCAAGGTATATGCAAATTTTGGAAGTAAACAATCAATACCGCAAGTTTGTAGTGTGGTGCCCCATCTCTGGCAGATGCTTCAACTTCCCAAGCTTTGGACGCATCCCAGCAGCAGCCAGCACACGCACCGCCAGGTTTGTGGCCTCGTCCGCAGGGCTTGTTCTCAGCCTCGTCGACCATGGGCGGAAGATGGTGGCGTGGAATCCTTTGTCTGGCGCCGTGGAGGAGCTGAATCCCAGCACGACTGAAGGCTTCGAGTCGAAGACGATCACATGACAGCAGGCTTTCTCGGACGAATTCCTGGTGATCCACGACTCAGTCGCCGGCTGCTGCAGCGTCTTCAGTCCCCCAACAAGGTTTCCGGCCCAGAGATCCAGAATGGTGGTGGCGGACGAGGGGGTGACGAGCGCGACACATATCGGGACTAGCAATGGGCGGCGGATTGGAGTGTGTATCAATCACCGGGAGATTGTTGTGCAGGAGTACAAGGAGAAGACGACATTGCGGAGGAGGTGAGGCAGTGGCAAGAGTCGGAGATGAAAGAGGCCGCGAAGCTAGAGAGAATGGATAAGAAGCTATGGGAGATAGTGGCACGAATGAGCGACGAGGAAGTAGAGGAAGCCAGGAAACGAATGGAAGCGCGGGAGCGTGAGGAAATGAATAATTGCGAGGAAGACGAGGAGGAGGAGGAAGCGTACAAGATCGAGGAATTGGGAAAGCTGGAGTTTGCAAAGGATCTCAAGAAGCATCCCTGTACGATACATGTTGCAAGCTTGGAGAATTTGATCTTGATCTCTGGAGGGGCGCTGAGTAGTAGCACTGCTCTAGTGTTTAACCTGGAGGATTTGACACGTGAGCTCAATTTTGAGCTCGCGAGCTCAAAACACTGGAGCTTGCGTTCATATCTAGCTATGCAATGGAAGTGCTGACGCTAAGGTCCAAGTTCAGTCTTTCAGCGAGAGGGAGGTTTGAAGCTCATATGTCCAGCTCTAAACGCGTTCTCTACTTTGTCACTCGAGCCTTGGAGCGGTGGAAACGCCGCGGCTGCCGGGGGAGCAAAGTTTGATATGCTGCTTGCGTTTGGATTCGTAGAAGACATCTACAAGATGAAAGAAAGGAGACACTGCTGTGACAGCCCCGAGATAATGAAGTTTGTACCTGTGGATTCATTTGGAACGAACTTGGATTCGCAAAGCCGGTGGCGGACGACGGTGGCGCTCCCCGGGGATCAAACTCGTCAAAACCCTCGTCCACTGGAATGGAAGATCGCATGGCTTCCTCGTAACTTGGTGGAGGTCCTCGGCTGCTGGCAAAGTTTTCAGGAGATCCTCCCTGTGTTGAAGTAGAACTCGATGATTGTTGAGACCACTCTTGTTGCTGCATTGGCTTTTGCCAATCGTCGTCTTCTAATCGACCGGAAGGTTTCTCCGCGGCTGGATTTGATCCAACGCCTTGGTACCTGAAATTACAAGTCTAGTGTAGTCGAAAGCATTGTAGTCGAAAGTATAAAAGGAGGAAGAACTTACTTGTTCTTGTTGACCGCGGCTTTTTTACGAACATCGTTTATCCTCTGCCTGTCATTTAGCAACGCAACCATGGTTTCTGCCTTTTTTCTCACATTGATCCCCTGATCTTTCCCGCTTGGCTGCTCAACGTATTGGAATTCCGTAAGTGGCTGCTCTGGAATCAAAAACGAGGATGATTAATCAGAAACTGGGAGAAAGAGAAACATGGAGTCATAAATTTCCTTGCCATAAGTTGAGACAAGAAGCTGATAACACTCTCGACTGCTTGCGGTGATCCGTTTGCGACCAGAAACTCCATAACCGTCATGCTCTGGAGTATCACAAAGTTTTAGCCGTCATAGAGCCGTGACAAAAAACAAAAGAAAGAAAAACAAAGAAACGCAACCTTGTAAACATGCCTCCAGTTTTTCCCTGTGTCGAGAAGGCGCTTTTGAAGAACTCCCATTATAAGTTGCAGCTCATTCCTGGAAGAGAAAGTAAACGAGCACACTCCTTAAGAAAGAAAGGAGAAAGAATGGAAGCTCTTCTTACGGGTCAACAGTGGCATCAGCTATTTCAGTCATGAGAGATCCATGCGGTCCCCAAGGCTCATTGCTCGTAGCTTCTTGGACCTACAATCGAGCAATCTCTTCAGAAAATCGCTGCCAAACGGAGAAAAATCCCTACCTTGATCTCGATCTCGGGCAGCCTAAACTTGTTCACCTCTCTCTTCCTGCGTAGCGGAGCTCCATCAAGGAGGAGAAAAATCGCGCAAAAGAATGCTTACAGCTCGCGCACCGTCTGACCGAACGCCTTCTTGAACGCCATCGCGCCGATCGAATGGAACCCTAGGCGCTCTCTCCCGTCGCACGTCTTTCCCCCCAAGGCCACAGAAAGCAAAAATAGAATTTCAAAGCAACGTGACCGTTCAACAAGCCCTAGAAAAGCAAACGTGGAATCTCACGGGTATATTCCCCCATCCATCATCGCAAAGCTCTCGTGGTCTAACGGACAAGGCATTTGACTTCTAATCAAGGGATTGTGGGTTCGAATCCCACCGGGAGTGAGTGGCCTGGCCTTCCAATGAAAAAAAGAATCTATTTGGTTGTTCTTCGTCTCTTTTATTTACTCTTGCAGCACTCTTGGATGTTGGAACACGACTTTGATCGCCCCAGCGTATTGGGCGCGGCCTTCCATTTCCCAGCTTTGTCCCTCCTCGCTCGCGATGCCTCCGCCTCAGCATAAGACTCTGCAAGAAAATCCATCGATCATGAGCAAAGAAATGAAAAATTCCTCCACGAGTTCCCCAAGAACAGAGCATCCCAAAGAACCCAAGACATTTCGATCGAGAAGAAGCTTACCAGTGAAATCATCTACGCCAGGATCCGTGACGAACGTCTTGGTCCTTCCATGCCAAGGCCCGGGCTCCGTCTGATTCGCTGGGTGCGATGGAATAGGCAGCCGGAGCATATGCGTCACGTCCGATCCACACACCGGGTGATAGAAATTGTCGTCGGGATTGACCCGCTTGATCTTGGGCTGGATCCAATCCGTGACATTGCTGGTCCGGAGGCCATAGTATGGATCGGGGGCGTCCTTGAGCTTGGGATCGTAGGCGTGGCTGGGCGTGGGGAGATGGACGTAGCTGGTTACCTCGGTGGTGGAGATCCCATGGAACTGGTTCTCGTGCCGCCGATCCACCTTGGGCTCCACTTGCTTCATCCGCGGCTTCTGGTGCGAGTAGTCGGTCACGGCGGATTTCTGGCGGCACACATTGCCGCTGCTGTCGCCCATTGCTATCAATTGATCGCGCGCGCGCTCCGCGCCGCTCGCCCGATCGATCGATCCTTGGCTAGATTCACGGACTCGCTCGATTCCTGTTCTTTCTCATCGCTTTGCCCTAAACCGGTGCCGCCCGGCGCATCGCCGCCTTCCACCAGTCTGTTCTGTGAACTAAATTTTGAAATCGAAAGGGCGCCGCCATCGTGGCCCTACAAGTGGACGGTGGCCGCTGGCCTCGAATGAAAACCCGCCACGTGTCATAGAGGAATGACACCCTGGTCGAAGCATATTTTGTCGAATATACCCTAGGTTTAGGGCTTTCTAGCAGCCGGCGCCAGAAAGAACAGCAGCGGAGATCCAAGATGGTGGTCGCCGGGAAGAAGCAGAAGAAGACCCAGGAGAGCATCAACAACAGATTGGCGCTGGTGATGAAGAGCGGCAAGTACACGCTGGGCTACAAGACGGTGCTCAAATCGCTGCGCAGTGGAAAAGGTGTGAAATCCCTCTTTGTTTCTCTTGCGATTGATCCATTGGCGCATTGGGTGCGCAGGGAAGCTTGTGCTCATCTCCAACAATTGCCCGCCCCTTCGCAAATCGGAGATCGAGTACTACGCGATGCTCTCCAAGACGAACGTCCACCACTACAGCGGAAGTAAGTTTTCTCGAAGAAAAGGAGGATTTTTCTCTTCCCTCTCGTTCTAGCTCCAATGCTCGAAACTTTCTAACATTGATCTTTCATTCCTCGCAGACAATGTGGAGCTTGGCACCGCTTGCGGGAAATACTACCGGGTTTCGTGCCTCACCATCACAGACCCAGGTGAGAATCCTTGGATTGATTTGGAGTTCTTTTCCATCGATTTTCACGGCAATTCTCTTGTCAGGCGATTCGGACATCATCAAATCTATGTCTGCCGAGTGAAAGGAAAATCTATCAATCAGCGCAACTCCATTTTGATCCTTGTAGCCCCTCTTACTCTCGAGAAACATGGAAATCTAATGGGAATTTTCGTCAAATGTGGCCAATAACTTTAAAGAGCCCTAAAACTAAAGTTTCTAGGTTTAGGGTTGAGGGCTTAGCGAGAATGTTGTGGGTGGACAAGTACCGCCCTCACACTCTGGACGAGGCGATCGTCCACCAAGAGCAAGCGCAGCGCCTCAAGAGCCTGGTAAAGATCTTCGCGTTGCTTTGGCGTGTCCTTTTGGAGTGATCCAATCAATGTGTAGATAGCCGAAGGAGATTGCCCGCATTTGCTCTTCTATGGGCCCTCTGGCGCTGGAAAGAAGACACTTATCATGGCTTTCTTGCGAGAGCTCTTTGGCGCTGGGGCTCAGCAGGTCTTAGAAAAAAAAATATTCTCGCTTCTTCTTCATTTGGTCTATGTTTCCGCAGGTTCAAGTTGAGAACAAGGCCTGGAAAGTCGAGGTGATTCTTTCTCTTTGACTTCTTGGTTCTTGGTTCTTTTAGTTCTTGGTTCACTAATGTGGAGGGACGTAGGCCGGAACGAGGAAAATCGACGTTGAGCTGACCACAGTGGCGAGCAACTACCACGTCGAGCTTAATCCCAGCGATGCGGGATTTCAAGATCGGTACGTGGTTCAAGAGATCATCAAGGAGATGGCCATGAGCAGGCCTCTCGATCTGGGTGTTGACATAAGTTTCAAAGGTAAAAAAGCTTGGTTTTGTTACTGCCAGTTTCACTTGCTTGTTGTGGAACAGTTCTCGTCCTTAACGAAGTGGATCGCCTCTCGAAGGAGGCGCAGCATTCACTCAGGCGAACGATGGAGAAGTATAGCGCCGCCTGCCGATTGATCCTTTGCTGCACAAGTGCTTCCAAAGTTATCGAGGCTGTTCGATCGCGATGCCTCAACGTGCGGATCAATGCTCCATCTGAAGATGAAGTGAGTTCTTCGCGCGCTTGTATTTCGAGTGTTTTTTATTCTTCCTCCTCTCGCAGATCACTAAAGTGCTCCAGTTCGTCGCTAAAAAGGAAGAGATACGTCTTCCACCGGCTTTTGCTGGTCGAATTGCGTTACATTCGAACAGGAACCTACGGCGAGCCATACTTTCATTGGAGGCCTGCAAAGTCCAACAGTAAGTTCTCGAAACATTTCAATCAATCCCTCTCTTTAAAATATTCTTTTTCTACTGTCCAGGTATCCGTTCACAGAGAATCAACCTGTTCAGACCACCGATTGGGAGCAATATATTGTAGAGATCGCATCGGACATAGTCAATGAACAGAGCCCGAAGAGGTTTATTTTCTCTTTCTTTCTTGCTCTTGATAAATTCTCCACGCTTGCAGATTGTTCATCGTGCGTGGAAAGCTATACGAGCTGCTTGTGAATTGTATCCCTCCTGAAATAGTTTTAAAGGTCAGTCGTGACTCCAGCTTGTAGCAGCACAATGAAGACAAAGTCTTTTGACTAACTCACATTTCTTGTTCCAGAGGCTACTTGTCGAGCTAATGAAGAAACTAGACTCGGAGCTAAAGCACGAGGTGTGTCACTGGGCAGCCTATCACGTAAGTAATTTCAAGCGCTTCTTGCTTTTGTTCCGAGCTGAAAGTATGAACACAGGAACATCGTATGCAACTTGGACAGAAGGCTATTTTTCATCTCGAAGGTATGCAAAACGATCAAAGAAACTTCGTGCCTGATCCGTGATTTCGTGCAGCCTTTGTCGCCAAGTTTATGAGCGTTTACAAGAAATTCCTGATAGCAACCTTTGGTTAGTCGCAGTAAGGCATTGTTCCATAGGAAATCGCTTCTTACACACATTGATTGTGCCACTTAAAGTTCACTTTTTAAGAAGGAAGGAACCTTTGGCTTGGCCTGAATCGCGACAACAACCTCCTCCGGCGAGTCATACTTTCATTGGAGGCTTTCAAAGCCCAACAATAAGTTCCCTTATGATTCTTTTCTATTCCTCTCACATAAAAAAACTGTTTTCCGGCTTTTCAGATCTTCCGAGAGCATCAACCTGTTCAGGCCACACTGATTTATAATACAAACCTCAAATCGCATCGGACAAGAGGTAAAGGGAAACAGGTGTGTGGCACCTTAGCTTAAGTTCCTCTATGCATGCTTGCGGATTATTCCTTGCGTGGAAAGCTCTACGATCTCCGCGTGACTTGTAATGGCTTTTGAGGAAGAAGCTCAGTCGAGATTCCCGTTCCAATGGAGACAAAGGCCACTTCTCTCTTTTCTCGATTTTGATGTTTCCAGAGGCTACTCGTCACGTCCAGGTGCTAGCTAAATCGTGAGCAGTCACAAACGTAAGTTACTTGAGATCCTTCTTGACTTAGCATGCTAAAGCAAAGAACTTAATTCCAGGAACATCAAGATAAGAGGCCATTAAGGTATGTGTAAGATTTTTGTCTTCCATTCTTTTCATAGTTTTTTTCCAGACTCTGCTCCGTGATTCCGTGGGGCCTTTGTATCGCCCACAAGAAATTCCTGATGCCAAACTTTGGAAAACATAAGTATAGGCTCGATTCGATCAAACAAAAAGGTCCACGCCATTGATCTCAGTGCGAGAGCGATACTTTAAAATATACGTTTTGATCGAACAGAGCTCCCTCTTATCTTAAGATCAGGGCGACCGGAATCCAAAGTATTCGCGGGGGGAATATTTCTTTTCTCTCTCCGTCCGTACTATCATGAAACCCGTGACCCACAGGGAGGTTTGAAAATTACAGGGGGTAACAGTTGACAGACAGTGTTGCCAGCGGACAATGATATTTACACAAATCATTGATAATTTTTTTCACCTTGGGGAAAAAGAAACCGGCGGCGGTGGTACGGTATGACATGACAAGCGTTGACGTGGCCAGAAATTCGCCCGAAGAACAAACAAGGTCTACCCTGGCGTTACTCTACTCTTAGAGGGAACAAAAGAGAAAGAAAGAAACGGCTATAGAAGAGAGGGATGAATGATCGAAGAATGCGTGTCTCTTCCGGGCAAGATTCTTGTCCATGGCGATGGCGCTCGCGCTGATTTGTTATCTTCCCTTCTTCTGGATGATTGATCGCGGCCCAGTCGCAGACGCAACGACGAGCTAGGTGGTGACGCCTCTGGATCATCGCATTCCTGTGGAAAGCGATCGGCCGATTCCATTTATTTCGAGCTCCTCCTCGGCGCAGCGCTCGGATTATCGATGTCGGCGGCGCCCCGGGCGATCATCCAGGTCTATTCTCTCGTTCTTTCCCTCTTCCTGGTAGCGGCAGTGGATGAATCCGCCGTAGCGGCTCACGAATCATCCTCCCAGACGTGGTGCAAGGCCGAGGAAGAGGCGGCGCTCTTGGATTTCCGGCGCTCTTTCGCGTCCCAGCCCGGCGAGGTCTTCGATTCTTGGATCCTGTCCAGGACGTGCTGCGCGTGGCGAGGGATCCAATGCAGCTCCGCCAAGGACGACGATGATTCGCGGCGCTTCACGGCTCTCAGCGATGGCTACCGGGTTCGTGTTCTTTCCCTCCCAGGGCTCAAGCTCGCGGGCGAGATCCCGCCGTCCATCGCCAGGCTCCGGGCGCTCGAGGCCGTCGATCTCTCCGCCAACCAGATCTCCGGCTCGATTCCTGCACAGCTCGTCTCCCTCGCGCACCTCAAGCTCCTCGATCTCAGCGCCAACAATCTCTCGGGCGCTCTCCCGCCGGCCTTCCGCCAGGGATTTCCAGCGATCGTCCGCCTTAATCTCTCGGACAACCTCCTCGAGGGCCCGATCCCGCCGATGCTGTCCTCGGCATCGATCGAGTCGCTCGACCTGAGCTACAATTTCTTCGCCGGCGCGCTGCCCAGCCCGATGATCTGCGCTCCATTCCTCAACGTCTCCAACAACGAGCTCTCGGGCCCCGTCCTCGCCACGCTCGCGCACTGCCCATCGATCCAGTCGATCAACGCCGCCGCAAACATGCTCAATCGCTCGCTGGCAGCGGCGCCCGAGGTGGATTTCTTCGCGAGCCCGGCCGCCAGGAGCATCAAGCTCCTAGATCTCTCCACCAACGCCATCCCGGGCGGCATTCCAGCGGTGATCGGCCGCCTCGCGGCGCTGGAGGAGCTCTTCCTCGGCTACAACAGCCTCGGCGGCGAGATCCCCAGCTCCATCTCCAACATCTCGGCGCTGAGGATCCTGAGCCTCCGCAACAACGATCTGGGCGGCGAGATGGCGGCGCTCGACTTCTCCCGCCTGCCAAACCTCACGGAGCTGGACCTCTCGTACAACCGCATCTCGGGGAACATTCCGTCGGGAATATCCCAGTGCCGCCACCTGACGGCGCTGACGCTGGGCAAGAACGAGCTGCGCGGGGATATTCCGTCGTCACTTGGCGCGCTTCGCAAGCTCGAGACGCTCTCTCTCTCCGGGAACGAGCTCGGGGGTGGAATCCCGGCCGAGCTCCAGGAATGCGAGGCGCTCGTCATGCTGGTGCTCTCCAAGAACAGCTTCACGGAGCCTCTGCCCGATCGGAACGTCACGGGGTTTCGCAATCTCCAGCTCCTGGCGATCGGGAATGCCGGGCTCTCGGGATCCATCCCGGCGTGGATTGGCAACTGCAGCAAGCTCCAGGTGCTGGATCTCAGCTGGAACAGGCTCGTCGGCGACATCCCCCGGTGGATTGGAGCTCTGGATCACCTCTTCTACCTGGATCTCTCCAACAATTCCTTCACTGGGTCGATACCCCCGGACATCCTCGGCATCCGCTGCCTGATCGAGGACGAGGACGCGAGCAGCAGCGCCGCGGATGATCTCCGCCCAGTCGCCAACACGCTCTTCGTCAAGCACCGATCCAACTCAAGCGCGCTCCAGTACAACCAGGTGTCGGCGTTCCCTCCCTCGATCATCCTCGCCAGCAACAATCTCTCCGGAGTGATCCCACTGGAGTTTGGCAAGCTGAGGAAGCTGGTGTCGCTGGATCTCAGCAACAACAGGCTGGTTGGATCGATCCCGGCGTGCCTGGCCAACGCGTCGGACCTGGAATCGCTGGATCTCTCCTCGAATGGGCTCTCGGGCAGCATCCCGCCATCGCTGGTGAAGCTCACGTTCCTCGCGGCGTTCAATGTGAGCTTCAATCGGCTGTCTGGGGCGATCCCTTCCGGGAACCAGTTCGCGAGCTTCTCCAATTCCTCCTACATCGCGAATTCCAGGCTCTGCGGCGCGCCACTCTCGAACCAGTGCCCGGCGGCGGCGATGGAGGCGAGCTCCAGCTCCTCGCGGGGCGGCGGCGGCGATCAAAGGGGTCCCATGAATCGCGGCGCGATAATGGGGATCACCATCAGTATCAGCCTGGGTCTCACGGCGCTGTTCGCCGCGATGCTCATGCTGTCCTTCTCGCGCGCGCGGGCGGGGCACCGGCAGGACATTGCGGGGCGGAATTTCAAGGAGATGAGCGTCGCCCAGATGATGGATCTGACGGTCACCATGTTCGGGCAGCGCTACCGTCGGATCACCGTGGGCGACCTCATCAAGGCCACAAACAACTTCGACGCGACCAACATCATCGGCTGTGGTGGCTTTGGGCTGGTCTTCAAGGCCAACCTTCCGGACGGGAATGTGGTGGCGATCAAGCGGCTCACGAGCGAGGATGGAGGGCCGCAGATGGAGAAGGAATTCGACGCGGAATTGTCCACCCTGGGGAACATTACGCACCCCAATCTTGTCTCCCTGGAGGGCTACTGCCGGCTGGGAATGCGCGACCGGCTACTGGTCTATTCCTACATGGAAAACGGCAGCCTCGACTACTGGCTCCACGAGCGATCCGACGGCGGGAGCCGGCTCACGTGGCGGCATCGCCTGGCCATTCTGCGCGAAACGGCCAGGGGATTGGAGTACCTCCACCGTGGATGCAACCCACACATTGTCCACCGGGACATCAAGTCGAGCAACATACTCCTGGACGGCGATCTGCGCGCGCACGTGGCGGATTTTGGACTGGCGAGGCTCATGCTGCCGTCGGATACGCACGTGACAACGGAGCTGGTCGGGACGCTGGGGTATATACCCCCGGAATATGCGCAGTCGTCCGAGGCGTCACTGCGCGGGGACGTGTATAGCTTTGGGGTGTTGGTGCTCGAGGTGTTGAGCCGGAGGAGGCCGGTGGACGCTTGCCGGAGGGGTGGGATTCGCGATCTTGTGCCGTGGGTGGAAGGGATGCAAGCTACCGGGAGGGGGATCGAGATTGTGGATCCACTGCTGCTCCAGAATTACTCCGAGGTGGACGCCTTGGAGGAGATGCTGCGGGTGTTGGATGTGGCTTGCTACTGCGTGGATTCTTGCCCCCAGAGGAGGCCTGGGATTGAGGAGGTTGTGGCTTGGTTGGATGCCGTGGGATCGAGCAGGCTCAAGGTGGGATTGGGCAAACCTTAGAGCGGGTTTCTTTGCTTTCGTGACTACAAATGCCCATGTCCGGTGTGTGACTATGATTCTTACAGCAAATGCCCAGGCAGGGCATTACAGGGAATATAAAGAATACTGGCGCAAGAACTGCGTGACTAGTCCTCCACTCAAGCAATGGCGGATTTGCAGCTCTAAACTTTTGATGGGACGTGACACTCACCAAGTTAAGCTGAGAAAGTTTGAGCAAATAGCGAGCGACTTGTTCTTTGATATGGCTGGAAGAAATAAACTGCGAGTATACTGGCGTATGTTGCACAAAACATTTATCCAAGAATCATCACTTGATGCATTGTGTGGTGGTTGTCGAGCAGCAGTGATAATGCTTAGCACAATGTTGGCTACAGGGATGTTCTAAAGTGGAAAGCAAATATAGCCTTGGAGAGTGGCCTTGAGATTGTGGCGAGATCCAGGATAGGACTCGGGAGTGATCTTTCAGGAACTTGGAAGGGATATTTTGTACCTTGAAATTTGAAATATAAGAGCACTCTTGTGTTGTGTCTGCTACAGGAAAACTAAAGTTGTGTTAATCGACCTTAAAGTTAGTGATCCTGTCCAAATGCTTCACACCGCAG